AAAGTCTGATTGCAAGTATTTTAAAATATAATATAATCTAACTACAAGTTCTTAATTTTTGCAATCTGATTATAGTAATCCAGATTACATGTAATCAGTTTAAATAATAAATTAACTATTTAAGCATCAACAACTAACTAGTCAAGGTAATTCTTTATTATATATTTTTAATTAATTATTTGATTTATTTGCATTTTTTTATCATTTAAACTGAAAAAAGAACACTGAACATTTAAGAAAGCATGTCAGTGTGTGTGTGTGTGTGAGTGTGTGTGTGTGTGTGTGTGTGTGTGTGTGTGTGTGTGTAGCAAAAATGGCCAAGCAAAAAAAATTGGCCAAGAAAAAAAAATCCATAAACAACTCTTCACTGCAATTTTTCCCATAAAAAGCAGAAATATTAAGTTTGACAAGGCCAAAATAATTTGAATCATAATGAAGTACTGATAAGACATGTGAGAGAAACTTATTACAGTTTGAGCCATGTTGCTAAAAAGATTTTTATGATCAATCTCTCAAATATTATTGTGATTCCAAATTTGCAATTAATAAAAACCATTTGTGGAATGTTCATCCATACAGTATACTTTTGAAAATACCATTCATGAAATTAAGCAATAGAGACATCTATTGCTCAACAATGCACCCAAGTTGCAAGATGAATCTCAAAGTTATAACAAACAGCTTGCACTTGATACTTTGTTTGTGCCAAGAATGTGTGCAGTTAATGAGAGCAGATGAGAAGCGCACTATCCGCTTACACTGAGAAAGAGCTACAGGTTGAAAAGAGCCCTTGATTCAAGTAAGAGAAAGGTACTCGAGCCTCAAACCAAAACAAGTCTGTTCACTCTGCGGCTTGAAAACTGAGAGCACAATGCCTGTCAAATGGAGTGTGACATTCCAGCGTTTTCTGTGGGAAAGCGGTAATTGCTTTTTTCAGTGTTTGGCCGACGGTTGCACAGGCTGTGAATCCTGCCCACCCACTAATGAGTGAACGAGGTTCTGCTGTGCTCATTGTTTCCTGACCGAGCTGTGTGGGAGAATCAGGGCTCGGCTTTCTTCACCGAATCTGTCCGTTCTTTCATTTTTGCAGAATGAGGTTTTCAGCATCATTTTTATGCTTCCTACTTGGTCTTCTAGGACTAGGAGGGACTCACGGTTTGCTGTTAATGGAAGATCAGGGGGAGGAACTGGAAGATAGAGACCTGAGCAAAGCTATTTTGGAGATGTTGCATATAAATAAACTGTCAGTGCTTCAGCAGGCAAAGCCACACCCCTACATGAAGCACGTTTACCAGTCCCTGGACGCACAGGCAAGAGACCTGAGTGGTGCTGATGGGACTCTTGTGCAGAGCTTCCGGAGCATCGAAGGTAAAGACATTTTTTTATTTTTAATAAACTAATTTAAATCTTGAAATAAAATAAAAAATACTATTTTTCATTGCCAATCAATGCTTTCCTTCATTTGAGATTTACTTTTATATGAATAATGTAGCTATACATTGGAGTCAAAAAGTCTCACCATTGAAAATGTGTTTGCGTTACTGTTAATTTAATATCAACTTTCCTTACAAATTATATTATTGTCATAATTTGAGCAAAAAGTTTCTCCCAGTCTTTTTTTTTTTTTGTATTATTGAGATACTTTTATAGTAGTTTTTTTTTTATATTTTGAATTTAAAAAGTTGCATTTTAAAATATCTTACTATTTAGTTTGTCCAGTGTTATTTTAGTATTATTGAGATACTTTTAATAATTTTTATTAATATTTTGAATTAGTTTTAGTTTTTATGTTTTCTACCATTTTTTTTTATTTTTTATTTTAGTTAGTTTTAGTAATTTTGTTGTGTGCTTTTGTCATTTTTTATTAACTTAGTTCATTTTTTTAATTTATTATATAGACATAAATAAAATAAAAAAAGTGTATTTCAAGCATTTTATTTAATTATTTGGCTAATAATTGAATTACGTTTGTCATTTTTTATTATTATTTTTAATGTCTATATAATTTATCATATAGACAAATAAAAAATACAATAAGAAATGTATATAAAAAGTGTGCATTTTATTTAAACAATGGATGCATTATTTGGTTAGTTAAATATTTCTTAATTATATGCTGTGAAGTAAATATTTTTTTAATCAATTACTTTTTTAATAATAATTTAATAATTTAATTACTTTTGTCATTTTTATTATTATTTTTAATGTCTACAGTATATAATTTATTATATAGACAAATAAAAAATAAAAATAAGAAATGTATATAAAAAGTGTGCAAGCATTTTATTTAATTATTTAATTTATTTTGCTTCAATGGATGCATTATTTGGTTAGTTAAATATTTCTTAATTATATGCTGTGAAGTAAATATTTTTTAAATCAATTACTTTTTTAAATTAATGATTTTTATTATCTGTATTCTGTTTATTTGATGTATTGTGTATCCAGGTTTAAATAAATTTTTTTAAAATCCCAGATTTTCAATTTGGCCTTGGGTCCTGGGTATTGTATATACACCGAAATGAGTTTTAATACTACACTTCTCTGAATAGATGTTGATGCATAAAACATTTTGACAGCCTACAAAGTAATATATAAATATAATCTATAAAAAGGTTATAAAAGCTGCTTAATATTTTCAACTGAAAGACTCTTAAAAGATGTTATTTTCTAAATAAGACTCAAAGTATGGCACTCCGGGATGGATCTGGTTCAACATGTCCCAGCTGAGTCCCTTCATGAGGGTTGCAGAGCTGGTCCTGCTGAGGAAGACTCTTCATCACAAGCCGCTTAGTGTGACGGTCACAGTACACAGTCTTTCACCGGGACCAGATAACCTGAGCATTAGCGGCCCTCTTGCAGAGCACTTATTGAGTCTGGACCGGCTGCCTCCATCAGGATATGATGTCTTCGATGTGACAGCTGCAATAACCCAGTCACCGCGCCACTCAGACATCTTGGGCTTCCAGCTGCGCTTCGGGGATGAGAGCGGCAGCTTGGTTCTCCATGAAGCCCTGACGCAGAGCCTCTACTGCTTGAACAGCAGCTCTCTCAGCCAGCCGCTCTTAGTGGTCTACAGGACCGCATCGATGGAGCACCAGCAGAGGGCGTCAGGAGCGAGTTCAGACTCAGAGCACAGGCTCAGACCGAGCTGCATGGCCAGCTCTGAATATGACCGACAGAGAATACAGCTGAGACACTTAGCTGCATGCAAACTGTACGTACATCATGTCAACCTTCATACCAGCAAGCTGAGTCAATGGATACTACAGCCGTCCAATTTCAACATAAGTATTTGTAGGTATGACCTGTCTGTGTGTAATATACCAAAAAGATGAGTCAGGGGTCTTGACAATATGTATAAGTTCAACCTCTTAACTGTCACCTGTCCTCTCAGAGAGACGCCTAAGTTTACTTCACTATATTACAAACTAGTGCAATCAAACGATTAATCGCGATTAATCGCATCCCAAATAAAAGTTTTTGTTTACATATTATATGTGTGTATACTCTGTATATTTATTATGTCTATATAAATACAAACACATGCATGTATATATTTAAGAAAAATATGTTGTTTGTATATTAAATATATTTATATATAATATAAAATATAAGAATATGAATACATAAATGTAAATATTTTCAAAATATATACTGTATGTGTGTGTATTTATATATACATGATTAATATACACAGTATACACACATATATTATGTAAACAAAAACTTTTATTTTGGATGCGATTAATCGTTTGACAGCACTATTACAAATAAATCTAATCATGATCGTTAAATAAATCTAGGTATGATCCTATCTGTGCACTGTAAAAAAAATTACAGTAAAAAAACGGCAGCTGTGGTTGCCAGAATTTTACCGTAAAAAAATACGGTAGCAACTTTTTAGGTTTTACGGATTTAACTTAAATGTACATTTAAATACCGTAATTATATAACTGATATAAATCATATTAATTAATATTAATACACCAACCTATTGAAGAACTGAAATCTGTTTTGTACCTTTGTAATACACTGATAACCCCTAATGTACACAACAGATAAGAAAAAACTAAGAAGAAACATAGTTATTGCAACAACAAAAAAAAACATCAAATTTGAAATTTAACGCAGGGAATTCTGAGAATGTTAATTCACTGTAAATTATACATTCTTTTTCACTTCCAAAAACAGTATATTACCGTAAAATTACATGTAATGCCCAATACAGTTTTTCACCGTATATAGTAAGGAAACTTACCGTTAACCATTTAACAGGTTTTTACTGCATCAGCATTTTTACAGTCTTTTACCGTTAAATTCACGGTCATTTTTTACAGTGTGTGTAATATACCAAAAGGATGAGTCAGAGAACTTGACAATATGTATAAGTCTAAGAATGTGCCAAGGAAAACTGTACTAATTTCAGTACTAATTTTATAATGATAGTGTGTGATTTCCTTTGTGAAAAACAAGTGCACTTAATTTTATTGAATGTGCACTTGTAGTGTACTTCAAATCCTTAAAGCATATTTTTTAAAACACTTTACTTGCAGATAATATAATATTAATTAAATAAATGGCCACTTAGTCTAAGTGTACTTCAAGAGAGAAAGTTTTATGACTTTTTCTTAACACACTTAAGTACACTTTTAAAAAGTGCACTTTGTAACAATGTCAAATTAAAAGTTTTACTTCATAGTACTTTTTAAATCATTATGTTATAATAATATTTTATCGGGCTTTATTAAAGAAGTAAGCTTATTTTGATGTGTTAACTAACACACTAAATCACAGCAGAAGTACTTGATTCTAATTTTAGCAGTGTTTTAGTCAATATTGCATTAAGTTAATACGTATTAAATTGCATCTTCATCGTTACAAATGTGTAATTAGAAATATATTTCAATACATGACATACAAGTTTCAATGGAAATGACTTATATTTTAATTATTTAATGGCTTATATTTTTAATTTTAAGTATATTTTAATTTACTTAATGCTTGTCAGCACATTCACCACTTTAACCATATTTCAAAATACAACAGAAGTAGCCTAATAAATAGCTAAAGATGGACTGGTTAGTTGGTTAAAAAAGCTTTGAGTTCAACTAATTGCGTTTAATATAAATGTAAACTATAATACAGTTTCATTTTGATTTAAATAGCATAATGCAATTAAAGGGGTCATATGATGCTGCTAAAAAGAACATTATTTTGTGTATTTGCTGTAATGAAATGTGTTTATGCGGTTTAAAGTTAAAAAAACACATTATTTTCCACATACTGTACATTATTGTTTCTCCTCTATGCCCCGCCTTTCTGAAACGCGTCGATTTTTACAAAGCTCATCGGTCTAAAAAAGCGAGGTGTGCATCATATGACCCCTTTAAGTGATTAAGCGCAATTAAATGTCTATGGCAGTGAGCAACGAAAATTAGCTACGCTATAACGCTATATTCAGCAGCTTGATAGAATTTAAAGCGAGCTACTTTTTACAACGAGTAGCAGTTTGGTCAAACGCAACATGTTTTAATGTGATAGTAGTAGGTGAGGGAACAGACTACACTCACCTAAATAATCCGTGGGAAAGTCCGATTCTTTCTGGTGAATCACATGATTCTAAACGGTCCTCATATGTAGACTGGAAAGTCCGAATCTTTCCAGTGAGTCGATTCGTCACAAATGGGGCTTTCCTTGGAAAGTCTGACTCATTCTAATGAATCATGCTGTCGGTTCATTTAATAAATGATTCACTGAATCTAGAAGTCCCTTTAGGCCTATTATTATGTGCTGTAAGGGTGTCTTTGTTGTTTTTAATATAAATTTACCTGTTAACGTTTAAAAACATTGATTTGACAATAGTTTAATTACTTCAGATCGCTTTTGGCCAACACTTTCAAAGTAGCTTCACTTCTTCAACACTCCTCAATGGTTAACAGCCCTGATATTGCAAAAAAATATTGCATTATATATTCATTGTATGTAATAGAACAAGATAATTATGTCCTTCCATTTTTGCCTTTTTAGAGGTATCTGTTTGAAAGAAATATCTGCGTCATCCATGTCTGTTCAGAGACATCGAAAACACCATGGAGAAAATTATGTACAAAGGTGCATTAAGTCTTCTCTGCAGCTTTTTATACTTATGAATGACAATTGTGAGTCTTAGTTTTGAATACGCAGTTGTGACAGATGTTGACCTTGAAACTGTTTTCATATATTTTCTAGATCAAACTGCTCTCCACAAGGCCTTTCATCTCTCATCGTGATGTACAGCAGCGACACAGCGGACATTATTATAAAAGAGCTAAAGGATATCAGAGCAGAGAGATGTGTGTGCCAGCCGACTGCTCGATGAAAAGGACTGCAAAAATCAAACAGTTCGTGAAGTATTTGAGGAAATGACAGTTGCAGGAAAAAGTATGTGAACCCTGAATTTCTGCATTGCTTGTAATATTTGATTTGAACACAGAAGGCATGCTTATCTGCTTAAAGGAATAGTTCACAAGAAAAATTGCTGACAATTTGCTCACGTTTAGGTCATACAAGATGTTGATGAGTTTGTTTCTTCATCAGATTTGGAGAAATTTATCATTACATCACTTGCTCACCAAAGGTGAATGGATGTGAATGGGTGCCGTCAGAATGAGAGTCCAAACAGCTAATGAAAACATTGATAATCCACAAGTAATCCACACCACTCCAGTCCATTTATGCATTGCGAAGGAAAAAGCTGTGTGTTTGTAATAAACAAATACATCAAGATGTTTTCAATTTCAAAATTGCTTCTGGCTAAAATACAAGTCCTATATAATATAATATCTTGTCTGGATTGTCTTGGTGGATTTTGATGTGAGGACAACAGAGATTGACTTGTTACTTATGGATTATTGTGATGTTTTTATCAGCTGCTTGGACTCTCATTCTGACGGCACCCATTCACTGCAGAGCATCCATTGGTGAGCAAGTGATGCTAAATTTCTCCAAATCTATTCTGATGAGGAAACAAACTCAGCAAATTTTCATTTTTGTGTAAACTATTTCTTTAAACAAATAGCACACAAACTATTCATACACTCTAAAAAATGCTGGGTTAAAAAGGGACAAACCCAGCTGTTATCTGCAGTCAGGAGGTAAATGCACAACAATCAGAAGGTGTTCTGCAACATTTCTCTTCACAAAATTTACAATTCAGCAATATTCTTAGGATGCCTGTGTGAATCATGCTGAAACGGCCGGGTTCACATACTTTGTACTGGAATTTTTTGTTTTGGACAACTACTTGGGGCGACCATTGCAGATGTGTACTTTTGGCCACAGGATGTCATAATAGAGCAAGAAAAAGTATCAATGTTCATGCAACAACAATGTTCACCTATGTTGAAGAATTTCACAATATCTCTATGACTGAGTTAGTACTGACAAGAAATAAAAAGTGTATATATGGATGTGACATGAGGAATATAAATGTGACCTGAATTTTGAATTTGAGACCATGGTGCTCATTTTACCATTTGGACAAAAAATTTAGGGAAGTTTTCAATAGTTCTTGGAAGCCTCTGATGATGCCTTGGGGATATGAAACCGAAACAATCTGTTCTGGAATTTCCTTCCACATTTTTCTGTCAGCAATTGCAGTGATTCCAGATTTAGATACAACGTTCCAGTTTAATTGTTATAGGCTACTTTACAATGTATGTAAAGTGTGAGTAGAAGCCCAGTCTTCTATATTCTATTCTATATTCCATAGGATTTTTTATGGTTATATAGGCCCACATATATTAGGCTATACAATTCAATATGATTTATGTTTACAATATTATGAAAAACATAAGCATTTGTGACCCTGGACCACAAAACCAGTCATAAGGGTCATTTTTTGCTGAATAAATACACTTTCCGTTGATGTATGGTTTGTTAGGATAGGACAATATTTGTTCGAGATACAACTATTTGAAAATCTGGAATCTGAGGGTGCAAAAAAATCTAAATATTGAGAAAATTGCTTTTAAAGTTGTCCAAATGAAGTTCTTAGCAATGCATATTACTAATCAGAAATTAAGTTTTGATATATTTATGGTAGGAAGTCTGCAAAATATCTCCATGGAACATGATCCTAATATCCTAGTGATTTTTGGCATAAAAGAAAAATCGATCATTTTGACCCATACAGTGTATTGTTGGCTCTTGCTACAAATATACCCGTGCTACTTATGACTGCTTTTGTGCTCCAGGGTCACATTTTAGGTTATAAAATAGTAAAATATTCATAGTACAATATATAATTGTTGCCCTATGTGAGAAAACGGCACTGATCTTCGTCTCTCCCGCATTCAGACAGCAATTATTTCACTTTTTAGAATGCAGTTTACAAAAGGCGATCGTTCTAAACATTCACTTTGTTACAGAATAAACTGTGCATCAAATAACAGCCTAAAAATTGAGCAACGCTCATGGGGAGGCGTGTCCTAGTGGGGGAGGGTGGAGGCGCGGCAGCTGATTGGTTACTAGCGCTGTCAATCAAAAGCAGCCATGTCAAGTGAAAAAAAAAAAGCGTTGTGAACTAATTGCGGAGAAGAAGGGGCTGTTATTTCGAGGCGCACTGTGTTAAAGTCAGCGGATTTGTTTATAAATGACAGCCTTGTACCAAATTTAGGCGCTGTTGTAGTTGCTCAGCATTATGTTTCTTTTATGTAATAGTAATAACATTACTGGGACAGTTTGACATCGATGTCCTAAGAACGGAATAATAAACTGAACCTGCTTCGAAATTCGCGTTTTAAGTTTGTTCTGGAGAAAACCAGCCAAATGATGTCAGGAAAGCATTTCAAGGGTCAAGAAGTCAGCTGCTGCATCAAATATTTCATATTTGGATTTAACATAATATTTTGGGTAAGAGCTTGTGTTTGTAGCACCATGGCTTTGTTTGTAATGCATCAGTGTTTCTTTCTGTCAGTGCATGTGAAAGTGAGTGTGATATATGGCTATTTCGCTCAGCCAATTCAGTTCCTTTGTTCCGTTTGTTTGAAACGCGAGAAGCCGGTATATACTGTACAAGACCGGCATAATTCGTCGATTAAATCGAGACCTATCGATTATTCTACGTTGAGCGTGGAGCAGACGCCTGCGGTCCTGTATTTGTGTTAATAGAAACTCATTTCATTGCGATCTTCTAAGCGTTTATCTCAGATGTATATGACAGCGGCAGAGTCAAGTGCGTACTACAGATAATCGGCTTTCTCTCTGAGAAGCGATGCATCGACCTTACTGTACACTAACACATGCATCCTGTGTGTGTCCTGGATTGAATGCAATAACTGGAGTGACTAGAGATTACATCGTGACTGTGAAAATGCAGTCATTTCTACTGAAAGACCCGTGTTGGTGTCTAACACTTTGATATAATATGCTTCAAAATATAGTTTTGAAATAAACCATTTATCGCAAAAATGTTGAAAATAATGTCAAGTAGCCTACAAAGAGTTATTTTGTTATTCCTACCCTTTTTTATCGCAGTGAGGTCTAACATTAATGGATAAGCACTTATCAATTTTAATGTTGTGCATTAATATAGCTAAAATCAGATTCAGTTTTAAGTTCAGGTTCAGTTTTTTTTCTAAAATCAGATACAAAATGTTTTATTATGCCATCCCCAATATACCCCATCCCAACTTGCCACCTTTAGCCTAATTTTAAACATTTGAAATAGTAAACATATTAAACAAATTTTACATTTTAAAAACATTTTTAGGGTTGCAGTCTTTTTTTGAGGTTCATCTCGAGCCTCCAGAATTCATATTTGGCTTTTTAGACAAAATACATACGTTTGGCATACCTGTGAATGATATCTATAATCAAGTGGTTAATAATGCCAGTCCAATAATTAAGCGTCGTTGCTGTGGCGCATTCTTGATTTGTTTAGTTCACGTTTATAGCCAAGTAAAAGTAAGCACCAGCATTTGTGTAATCTAACTTTTGTGGCCAATAAAATGCCACGTTGAAAACCAGTTGTGGCAAATATTATGACATTTTTGTGGATCCCTTACAAATTATGAGCCAAAGATGAAAGTATTCATACGCTTTATCAGAAAATCCCGTTCTATAAAGAATCATACACCTCCTGTCACCTCAAGAGGCTGGTAGTCTTGTACAATAGTGATTTCACCCCTCTAACTCATTTATAATTGCATGAATTGATGATGTTACAACTCTGCCCATGTTGCAGCACTCCTATACTCTTAAAAATAAAGGTTCTTTATTGGCATCTATAGTTCCGTGAAGAACCTTTTAACATCCACGGAACCTTTCCATTGCACAAAAGGTTCTTTATAGCGGAAAAAGGTTCTTTAGATGCTTAAATTTTCTTTTTAAGAACTGCTCTCTGAAAGCTTCTTTAGGGAACCAAAAATACCCCCCCCCCCCAACCCAACCCCCCACACACACACACACTATATTTTTAAGAGTGTAAAGCCTGATTTATTTTTACAAGTTAGATCAGTACCCCTTTTTCCCATCACCTAGTTTGAGTGTTCACTGATTATCTGGGACGCTCATCCTTTCACATGAGTCCTGTGAGGTTCAATAATGAGGGCGCTATTATTGAGCCTTCACTGTGCTACTGTACAGAACTCAATGAACTTCATACACTTGCGTCATTAGCTACTGTACACGTTTACTGCTGTCTCATATTTTCAATCACTTCAAATGGCATTACTGACGAAGACAATTGTTTATATTTAATTTAATGTGATGTTTCACAACAGAAAAATCTTAGTTACAAAGACATATCTTTTAAATAATAAAAAAAAGTGATCGTTAAACCGATTTTTAATAGATAATAGAATGTGATATATGTCACCTACTGCCATATATAGGCTAATATGTCCCATAATACACTATTCATTGTTGCTGGTTTGGTTGAACTCATTGATTCCTTAAAAAAATAACACTGACAGCTTCTTAAAGGATGAATTTGTTGTTTCTTCTATTCATTGGACTAGACTAGATGGTAACAAAAGTTGGAATGTGTTTGTATGTTTTACTTGCCATGACATGTTACACTATAACTGGACGCTGAGGTCATAATTTCTTGTTATGATCTCACCCGAGTAATGCTTTTTGTCTTTTTTCACGTTCTTTATTTGGGTTAACATTGGGGGTTTTGTGACACAGCTTACACACAAAGTATTTTACTGAAAGATGACTCATAATGAAAAGTGACATTTCTCTTACTGTACATATCAGAAATCAGCTGCACTAATTAAAGTCAGAGTGCAGTGCACAATAGTCTTGTATGGCTGACATTAATGACACCCCTTTAAGGTGCTCAGTTAAAGCAGTAAACAAACCTCCCAAATAGATGTATTCATGGATCTATAAATTAAAATGTCTCTTTTAATTGCATGGTGAGAGCAGGTGTACGAGAAGTGTTTTGGATTTTGTATAAACATGTTTGCAAATAGCATATATAAGAATAACATCGTTATTAATAAAATCAACTAAAGCAATTGATTTATTTTGGCAGGGTAGCATATAACACACCTCAGAAATATTGCTCTCGTCTCGGTACACTGTCTGAATGCATTTCCAAATTGAAAGTGAGTCAGGCTCCACTAGCTTGTTCCTTAAGTCAAAGCACTCCTTTGTTTCTGCGTGACATTTTTCTGGCTTGCATACAGAATGTTTTCACTGAAGTGTATGTCATCTCCTTTAAGAGTATGCTGGTCATGATGCCAGATGGTGAACAAGAATATAATATATCTAACTAAAAAGGTTGTGTATTTACATTATGGACTGGCCAAATGTGTGTGTATTAAATGTTTTTAAAGAAGGCTCTTATGTTCACCAAGGCTGCATTTATTTGATAAAAAATACAGTAATACTGTGAAATGTTATTATAATTTAAAATAACTGTTCTCTATTTGAATATATTTTAAAATGTAATTTATTCCTGTGATGCAAAGCTGAATTTTCAGCATCGTTACTCCAGACTTCAGTGTCACATGATCCTTCAGAAATCATTCTGATATGCTGATTTGCTAGCCGTATTATCAATTATTATTGGTGCTCAATTATTAATGATGTTCTTATTATGTCAGTGTTGAAAAAAAGTTTTTTTCAGGAATCCTTGATGAAAATGAAAACAAGAAATTTCATTTATTTGAATTAGAAATCTTTGGTAACATTATAAATGTTTTTACTTTCACTTTTGGTCAATTCGGTGCATCCTTGCTAAATAAAAGTATCAATTTCTTTTCTTTTCTTTCTTTCTTTCTTTTTTTTTTTATTAAATCTTACTTAATCCCAAACTTTTGAATGGTAGTGTATCACGGTTTCCACTGTTTCAACATTGATAATAATGATAAGAAATGTTTCTTGAGCAGCAAATCAGCATATTAGAATGATTTCTGAAGAATCATGTGACACTAAAGACTGGATTACTTAAACTCAGCTTCAATTCAGTAATAAATTCCATTAAAATAATTTTATATAAAATAATTGCAAGTATTAAAAAAATGCATGCATACATTATGGTCTACATGTGACCATTGGCCATTCATTGCATACAGTAATCTTATAGTATATAATTCTCTGTCTACTATAATATTTAGTGCAGGGTAGCCATTATGCTTAAGCTTTAATGGAGCAGCTGGTTGTTATGAAAACGATCATAATAATGCATGTTTGCTCTGGGAATATTTGTGAATCCATTTAATTCTCTTTAGTGTCTTTCCATGTCCTGACTGAATCTGATGCTGATGCCATACAGTTTCTTTCAGACTACTTGAGTTTAGAAAGCTTAATAAACCCATGCAAGAATTAATATGCATTTCTCCATGTATATTAGTCCACAGAGACATGTGAACCGGGTTTGTGTGCAGCTTTAATATCACAAACAACACCCTGTGATGCTGAAAAAAAGCTGCATGTTTTCTGGTTCGCTCCATTGTGTGCAAAGTTGGATGGGAATGAATGGAGCCTTTGTGCTCCACAAAACGTCTGTTTTTGAAATCAAGTCCAAGAAACTAAATCGTCCTTCATTCCTCACTCTCAAGGTCTCCCTCTATTAGCAACCACTTTACAAATTAATAAAAAAAAACTTTTATATTTTAAAATTCCTCAAATTTACAAAAAAAACTAGTTGTGGTGAAACAGAAGTAGCGAGAGATCTTTTCTTCCGACATGCATCCAAGTGGATTCGAACAAGAAGTAGTGTGGGAACTTGGTTTTGTGCATTGGCTGATTTGGAGATGTGGGTGTTTAAACATATGCAATAAGATCTATAACATTTAGAAAATGGATAGGGTGAATTTTCATTTCATGCCACCTTTAACCTTTAATGATTATATCATTTGATTTTTGCAGTCTGTACATCTGTTTACCTTACATGATTTTTATTTGTTTTTTGTTTGTTTGTTTTTTCTCTTCCTGTGAACCACTGATTGTGGGGATATGAGGCTTTACACAGTAACCAGACAGTTTTGATGCAGAGAGAGAGAGAGAGAGAGAGAGAGAGATTGCAAATAAAAAAAAAAATATATATATATATATATATATAAAAAAATATATAATAATGGTAACACTTTAGTTTAGGGACTAATTCTCACTAGTTGCTTATTTGCATGAATATTACTAGCATACTGTCTGTTTATTAGTACTTATAAATCACTTATTAATGTCTTATTCTGCATGACCATCTCTTAATTCTACCCCATACTAAACTTAACAACTACCTTACTACTTATTAATAAGCAGCAGATTTTTTTTTTTTAAGTTGTAAATAATACAAAGATTATTGGAATATGTTTTGCCATTTCTTTGTAATTATTTGTTATATTTACTAGCAATTTCTGAGTGAAAGTGAAAGTAATTCCCACATCTATTTTTACAGTGTATTAAGTAGAGGTCGACCGATTCATCGGTTTTGCCGATTAATCGGCACCGATAGTTGATTGGCCGAACTATCGGTTATCGGCAAAAATCAATGCCGATAGTTTTCCGGGTTGCGTCCGTTGCTGGAGTGGCCGAGAAGGGTCCGCTGCCATTATACAGTACGAGAGCGGCCTCTAGAGGCGGAAATCACTTAACAGCACGTGTTGTTTGTTTTGACACGTGACACTGCGCGCTGCACAGAGCGGGAAACTTCAAACCTGCATTTAAATGCAGCCGACAGAAAATTCTGCCACGGAACAGAGCGCCATTCACATAGTTTTCCATTAAATTACATTATATTTGTCCCAAATCATTGTTAATGTACATAATGACTTCACCCTAGGCTATGAATTATGTATTGTGCTCTTTCTGTGGCTCTAATACAGTCTTTATGCTTCATATAGAGAGCTGTAAAGATCGCACTCTCTCTTTCCCTTTGCTCTGTTTTTTTTAAGCAATAAAAAACTCATTTATGCCACATTGTCATTTATGCCACATTGTTCATTCTTGAAGCAAACTTATGTCCGTTTGGTGATTAAATAAACAGTTTTAGACCGCTGCTGGAATTGAAAGTGACGCGTCTGGTGTGTGACTTCTCCGAGAACGCATCGCAGGGCTCTACAGTGCGACCACGTTAGTAAACTATGAAATAACTTTAATGATCAATATAATAATTAATATTAATATGTTTATTCATTTACAAAGTATGGTTCAGTACTGCTACTGCTTTTTTCAAAATAGTAAAGCTCTGTTTTAGTTTTCGTTTATCATTTTAAAAACTATCGGTTGATTAATCGGTATCGGCCAGTGTGGTCCAACCTAGCTATCGGTATCGGTAAAATCCACTATCGGTCGACCTCTTGTATTAAGTAAATACAGGACTGTACTGTGTCCGAGTTAGAGTTCATGTTTTACTAAAAGAAGTACTGTATGAGAGAGACTGTTGTCTTGCATCATTTATGTACACAAAAACTCTTGTGTGAGGCACAGTGGGCGCTCTGATGGTGAAAAGATGGAGCCTTATGAGGGACAAACAGGGCCGTTTAGACTAAAACGACTTGGCAAAATGTAGCTGTGAGTGTTTTCTTGAATAGTGAATGAAATTCTGGAGGTTTCTCAAATCTGATGGCTTGTGATATACAGTACAGATGGGTGATCTGACTAAAGGTCTTGACCCCACTAAAACACAGTGGTTATATTTGAAAGCAATAATGTATTTGTGTAGAGTTGCATAGCTGATATTCAGGTCCATGTGTCTCCACCCACGTCTAGCTCTTTTTTTATCATTATTATTTTTCTCATATAGCAAAACTGAAAATTTGCTGAAAATGTAACCATCCTCAGGCCTTCTAAGATGTAGAAGAGTTTCTTTCTTCATCACAACGGATTTGGAGAAATGCAGCATTGCATCTCTTGCTCACCAGTGGATCCTCTGCAGTGAATGGGTGCCGTCAGAATGAGAGTCCAAACAGCTGATAAACACATCACAATAATCCACAAGTAATCCACACCACTCCAGTCCATCAGTTAATGGCTTGTGAAGAGAAAAGCTGCACGTTTGTAAGAAACATTTAAATTTAAACCATTGTTTCTGGCCAAAATATGCATTCATAATCCATGTAACACTTCCTCCAGTGAAAAAATCCACCCACATGATTGTTTAGAACTGTTTTGGACTGTTTGTACTTTTTAAAATGTCTTAATGATGGATTTGTTTCTTAAAAACGCGTAGCTTTTCATTTCATAAGATGTTAATTGATGGACTGGAGTCGTGTGGATTATTGTGGTGTTTTTATCAGCTGTTTGGACTCTCATTCTGATGGCACCCATTCACTGCAGAGGATCCATTGGTGAGCAAGTGATGCAATGCTACATTTCTCCAAATCTGTTCTGATGAAGAAACAAACTCATCTGTATCTTGGAAGGCCTAATGTTGAGTAGATTTTCAGCAAATTATCATTTTTGAGTGAACAATTTCTTTAATTTGGCCTTTAAAGTAATTTTGTCCGTTCCTTTAATTAAATTATAATTTCAGCTATACAAAATCTGCCAATAGTACAGTTCTATCTTTCTTTATGTTTGTAAGCCTTACAGTTAATGTGAACACCGTGCATATGTGTGTGTTTAATGTTTGGCAGAGAAAACATAGTATAAGAAGAAATAAGGTACAAATAAAGGCGATGTTCTCCAGTTCTGAAAGGCTAGCAGAATCACAGCCCTGTGGACACAATGAGGACATACGTCTCATGGGAAGAACCAGATGTCTGCTCATATGCCACCATATAAGATCAGATTGCAGAAACTGTGTCAGAGTGTGACTTGAGAAGCTGTTGAAATTACAAACAAGACCTTAAGAGTGAGATATAGAGGCTGGCACCCTTTACAGTCAATGGTTACGAGTCATGACCTAATGTTTGGTCAGGCTGAGGGGATCTGATAAAATGCTTGCCGTCTTTTTATCCCTAATGTTCAGCATTGGCTCACTGGGAAGGGGGTTTTGAAATGGAAACATTACTGTGTACTTTGGAGAACAGTAATCTATGCTTTGCCTCACATGTCTTTTCATAATCATGGACGACATGGTTTTTACATTTTCATATCAGAGTGTAATATTACACTCTAGGTTGGTCTGAACTTTATTTTTTATGTATAATTGTGGGTTAAAGAAACTTTTAAATGGATAGTTCACACACACAAAAGATACTTTGGTACAAACAGTTTTGGTTCCCATGACTTCCATTATATTTTTGGACCATACAGTAGAAGTCAATGGGAACTAAAATTCTTCTTCTTTCGTGTTCCACAAATAAAAAAGTTGAACAAATAATGTGTGAAATTATTGTTTTCAATAATGTGCGATGCGTGCTGTAACATCTCAAAACCCTTCACAACCTTTTAAAACCTCTTAATCTGCTTTGCGTTGTGTTTATCACAATCACCATTGCTAAAGTAATGCCATATCTGTCTTGTTTTATAGTTGCTTGGCGTGGCTTTCCTTGGAATCGGATTGTGGGCATGGAGCGAGAAGGTGAGAAAAACAAGATTGAATGCATAATCCATACAATTTATCTTTATTTGATAGGCATATTAACGTACATGTGAAAAATGTTTTTTTATTTTATTTCAGTTAATGTTTGTTTTGTTTTAAGTTGATTTATTTATCTATTTATTTATTTATTTATTACATAGGGATGGAAATAACAGCTAACAGCATTATCACATGTGTGCGGCTGTTTTCTCCATATATAGACACACACACACACACACACACACTGTGCAGAGTTATTTGTCTACAAACACACTATGTAGAGTGGACCACAAAAATGCATTTTTGGACAGTTTCATAAGACTGAAAATATTGTTTAAATTTCTCACTCAATAGTCTGTCTGATCTTTTACACACAAACCTGTATAAACACACTTTGATATATTGTGTGTCTGTGTATGCTTGATCAGTTTGCCATTTTCTGTGCCATATTTGTGACTTTGAAACCACACGGCTTCTGTTTATAATGAAATATTCGCAAATATCTCCGTAATTGCAAACAATCACATTTGAACCAAATTCTCAAGGTTCTGGGAAGCCGTTCAACTAATTAGAGCTCTGTGTGTTCCTCAGGGAGTTCTGTCTAACATCTCCTCCATCACGGATCTGGGTGGATTTGATCCAGTGTGGTTGTTTCTGGTGGTTGGGGGGGTGATGTTCATCCTGGGTTTCGCTGGCTGTATCGGGGCCCTGAGGGAAAACACCTTCCTGCTCAAATTTGTATGTATTCAAGTTTTGATTCTTATTAGGTGTAGGTGTAGTCTCCTACAAAACAGATTAGTGCTTTTTTTAACACTTACATGCATGGGTGTTTCGACAGTCGTTAATACATGCGGGACGAACATCTACCAGAGAGTGCATGTACAAAGCATTTTAGGCACAGTTAGAAAATACTAAAATAGAATATATATTTGATGTTTGTAAATGCAACAAGTGAAGAACAGGATTGATTACTTCTGTGCTTGTATGTTATGACAAAACTGGATGTCAAACAACGCTGTACATAACACACTGTACTTTGCTCACTTATCTAACACCAGTCATTGGTTTACTGATACAAAACCATGCTAGGTCTAACCATGCATGTCTGCTAGAAATAATGTAATAGAACATGGATCAATAAATGCACTTTAAAATGTTTTTCATTTGCAAAAGTGATTTTAAAAAATCACAAAATTTATACTTTACAATCTGAGGTCACGAGTGACATTTTTTATAGCAATATTTATTATTTAATATTTTGGGACTTAAATTGCAAAAATTATTACAATAGTGTAATTTTAATTTTTGTAATAAAGCAATTAGATTTTTTCTCAGTTTTGGCATTTTCTATGTATGTATGTATTTGCTTTGACTCGCATTGCATAAATTGCAATGCATTTTAGAAACTATAATAAAAAATACATTTGATAAATTTGCTAAATCTGATGTCCGCACAAACTAAATTTACAATCTGATGTCACTCATTTATTTATTGCCATTTAGTATGTTGTATGTATTAATTTGTTTATTTTTGGAATCAGACTGCAAAAATGAAACTAGTGTCAATGCATTTTGGTAACAATAATTTAAAAATACAAAACATTTTTCTCAATTTTGACATTTTATTACATTATTCAGAACAGAAAAAGAAATACTACAGTGGATGAGGTAGAGAGGTCAAATGAGTGTTAATGACTGTAGTAAAGTGTATTTGTCTCTCTCCTCTCCCAGTTCTCTGTGTTTCTGGGGATAATCTTCTTCCTGGAGCTGACCGCCGGTGTCCTGGCCTTTGTCTTTAAAGACTGGATTAAAGATCAGCTCAACTTTTTCATCAACAACAACATACGAGCCTACAGAGATGACATAGACTTGCAGAACCTCATCGACTTCACTCAGGAATATGTAAGACTGCAGGCTAGAGAGCAGAGAGCACTCATGTCTCCAATATACAGACAGAGAAAATACACTAGAAAGTGAAAATGAGGAAAGGTGTAAACAAGATGAAAGGGGAAAATGTGTGTGCACAGGAGAAAAAAAGCAAACTATCAGTTTATCTGCGCCACATGTCATTACAGAAGCAGTTCCCATAGCAACAGCATGACTTGAAGACTCCTTATTCACTGTCAGAACAGACAGCGCACTTACTGAGATCTCTGTCGGTTCACGTTTCCTCATTTCTTTGAATAGTGAGATGTCAAACTGCTCGGAATTTTGTTTATTTCGAGGCTAAAATGTGTCGACATTTAGAAGGTTACTGGGTCATTCTCAGGAAATGGTGCCATTTGGGTCTGAAAGTTGTTGTTTTTCTTATCTGAGAAGTATTTCATTTGAAAAAGTTACTATTGAACTTTAAGAAATCTTATTTTTTCACCTTAGACTTGAAGTACTAAGTCCAAAACTACCATAGACATTGGGAAAACACTACAAGATGACCCCAGTAGTCAGATTAGTGGCCATCAAATATATCTAGAGACACTTTATAGATAGATATAGTGCTTTATTATTCTAATTGAATGTATCGAGTACATTTAAGTGAATTTGAAATACTGTTACCAATTAAATTAAATGCGTATCAACAAAATTCATCTTTGCACAAAAGCTGCACCTCAGGTGGCATTGAATTGACTGTTTAATGCAGCTCTGAGTTGGAATAAATGCATTTACACTGCAATTAAAGTTGCATAATCCTATGATATTAATTTCTTATATATAATACTTTGAATGTAGAAATTTGAAATGTTACAAAAAATGAAGTTACACTTTATTTTAAGGTGTCCTTGTTACAGTGTAATTATACATTTAAGTACTGAGTAATATTAATTAACTACATGCACTTATGGGTAGGGTTAGGATTAGAGTTTGGTCTAGAGTTACTTGCATGTAATTATGCATAATTTATTGTTATTATAATAGTAAGTACATGTAACAAGGACACTTTAAAATAAAGTGTCTTTAAAAAAAAAATGATACTTTAAAATGTGAAATTAAAACCAGTAGGTGGCGGCAAGCTTAATGAGTGAGTCATTGAATAATTAATTGGTTCAAATTCGATTTGTTCGAAATGGCTGATTCATTCAGGAATGAAGCATGTGAGTCTTTCAGTTCAATTCAATTCAAGTTTATTTGTATAGCGCTTTTCACGATACAAATCGTTGCAAAGCAACGTTTTGTTGCTTTGCAAACAAGAAATGTTTTTGAACAGTAAAGAAATATTGTGTGACACAAACCACGAAATCACACAATATTTCTTTACTGTTCAAAAACATTTCTTGTGAAAAACTTGTGATGTCACTCACATTAGGGTTCAAACATAGAATTCATATTCTATATTTTAATATTTTATTTCATTCTATTTTTCTTTTTTTTTAGTGTATGTATTCATCATATTTGTATTTGATATAAAGGTTCTGTAAGTTGAGTCTTTAATGTGTGTCTTTATGAGTGAGTCATTGAATCACTTGTTAGACTGATTCAAATCCAAAAACACAGATTCATTCAGAAGTGAAACATATTGCTCCTGCTACTGCAGCTTTGTTTGAACTAATTTTGTTGGTGAAATACAGTAGAGCAAAAAAAACTGACAATATTGACAATACTGTCACTAAACTCGCTTAATATTAACTTTATAATGTGTGATATTGCTTTAAAATATCATATGTTGTAAATCTAAAAAACAAGGGACATACAGGGGCTAATTTTTTTGTCCTCATATCTTGAATTTTATTAATTTTGGTGGCATTTTGCTCCAAGTTCCCATTAATTTCTGACCCTGCTGGTTACAGTGTTGCAAAGTACCTGTAATTATTTATCAAAACTAACTGAAAAACAATAATGAGTAATATCACTTAGTTTTGGCATGCCTTTTAATAACCTATAATTTAAAACATATTAATATTTGCATTTGAAATGTTCTGAATGTTGCAAGGTTAAAAGTGCAAACATATCATTGCAGATTACTTCAGTCAATATTTCGTGGTTTGTGTCACACAATATTTCTTTACTGTTCAAAAACATTTCTTGTGAAAAACTTGTGATGTCACTCACATTAGGGTTCAAACATAGAATTCATATTCTATATTTTAATATTTTATTTCATTCTATTTTTCTTTTTTTTTAGTGTATGTATTCATCATATTTGTATTTGATATAAAGAAACCCATTAAAATGTAACAGTGGGATATACAAAATAACTAATATTCTAGTGGAAAAAAACATAGAAAAACATGCAATCGTCTTGTTAACACTTTTATTATGTATTTATTTATTTATTTGCATTACTCAGTTAACAGTGTGACATCTATCAGTGTAACAAAGTTCAGTTTGCTATTAATGATATAAGTAGAAGTTCACACTTAGCACACAAATGACATTGTTTCCTGAGCAAAACCCTGCTACAGTCCCATACTGCACTGCAACTGCAGCTTTACTGTGTTTTTTTTCCAGCTTTACTCTGTACTGTTGATCTCTTTCCAGCAGATGCCTTTCCTCGGGACAGATTTAATTAGATATCAGAATCAGGCAGATGCTGTCATGTTATGTCCTTGCTGACCTTACATGATAAAGAAGACAGACACAAAAAAGCACTGCATGTCAACATCAAATACTAGTATAAGGGGAAAACATGGGGGATCACGGCTTGCTTATGCCACATCTGTAACATTGATGTGTATTAAACAGATGCAGTCTAATGCATTTAAAGGGGTCCTATTATGCTCTTTTACAATGTCTTGAATTTGTTTTGGGGGTGTACTATGCTCTCATGCTTGGTGGTTCGAAAAACGCATAATTTTTTACATCATTTACATTATTACAATACCTTTCTCCCCAGTCTGGCACAAACGGCTCAATTAGTTCTGGGTTTGATGAACGCCTGCCTTCCGAAAAACGAAATGTGATGTGATTGGTTAGCTGTCCCAGTGCGTTGTGATTGGTGAACAGCTTAAGACGGTGTTTCAGTACTGCCCCGCCCCTTGCCAAAGCAGCAAGTTTAGTTAAAGGGGTCATATGATGCTGCTAAAAAGAACATTATTTTGTGTATTTGGTGTAATGAAATGTGTTTATGCGGTTTAAGGTTAAAAAAACATTATTTTCCACATACTGTACATTATTGTTTCTCCTCTATGCCCCGCCTTTTTGAAACGCGTCGATTTTTACAAAGCTCATCGGTCTGTTATTGTTCTTTAATTCTAACATTATAACATGAATTGCAGTGAAACTGTTATACAGTTGAATTTATTTATACCATAGTCCAGTGTTTCCCACAGACTTGCACTCTATTTGTGGCAGCATATATATGCAAATTCATTCTCTGCCAGCAGGAGGCGCTGTTGGCGTGGTAGCAATCAAGGTTTCCCCGGTAACGGCTGTACACAAAGCAGCCGCTCGGCTCAGAAAAAACACTGCTTTATCAGATATTACATGTAAGATTAAATGAAAATGAAAATTTTCTGAAGACAGTCGGTTTCCTTCAGAAATACATAAAAACACCCGCACTCAATGTATGGGAAACACTGTAGTCTCAAAATTGAAGTGTAAATTCTGCAGATTACATCATTGTCCAGTATTGTACTGTCAGCAATTTATTATAAAAACGTTTTGATAACTGTAACATACATATTTACATACATAATTATTCAGGTGCATGTGTAATAACTTGTGAAAACTTGACGCTACAGCAGCACATCGTCTCGTCTGATGCACTCACTCAACCAAGCGTTCTAACTACGACCTCGCCCCTCCCCACCACCCAAACCATTCGAATTTCCATAGGCGGGATTTATTTTAATGATATTCTAATGGGCTGCTTTGTGACATCACAAAACCCGGAAAACAATGCTGTAGTCCAAACGAGCCGTTCGTTGTAGTTCTTGAAAAGGGATTTGTTTTAAACGAAATATCTCCCTTTGGAGTGGACTTTGAGATTTGTAACTTTGTAGATCTTTTTTATGCCCAAACATACACACTACACACTGACTAAAATTCAAAAAGTGAAAAAGCATAATAGGACCCCTTTAATGCTTCCTATTAGAGTTGTCCAATATTCCAAATTATTGCAAGTTAATCTCATGATTAATGTGCCTTCCAAAACTCAAGAAATATAATTGCATGCACAATATTTGCCTTTCTTCAGTGGGAATGCTGTGGGGCGTTTGGAGCAGATGACTGGAACCTCAACATCTACTTCAACTGCACAGACAGCAACCCCAGCCGAGAAAAATGTGGCGTGCCCTTCTCCTGTTGCACCAAAGACCCAGCGGTAAGAGATGAACTTTTATGGCAACTGAATGAAAGCATGAATGAAAGCTATAGTTCACCCTAACATGTAAATGTCCTAAAATTTTTTACAAGCAATCCAATATGTAGATGAGTTTGTTTCTTCATCAGATTTGGAGAAATGTAGCATTGCATCACTTGCTCACCAATGGATGCTCTGCAGTGAATGGGTGCCGTCAGAATGAGAGTCCAAACAGCTGATAAAAACACCACGGTAATCCACGCCACTCCAGTCCATCAGTTAATGTCTTGTGAAGAGAAAAGCTGCGCGTTTGTAATAAAAAATCCATCATTAAAACGGGTTTAACCTAAAACTGTCGCTTCTGGCTAAAATACGAGTCCTCGGTCTATAATATTGCTTTTTCCAGTGAAAAGTCGTCTTGTCTGAATCAGAAGAGAAATACAGTATGCACAGATCAAGCACCGTTTACAAGCAAAAACAGTCTAAAATAGTTTTAAACAAAGATGTGAGAGGACAACAGGAGATGGAGGAAGCGTAATAGTGGATTATTGATTTGTATTTTGGCCTGAAGCGATCGTGGATTTGTTTCTTACAAACACAGTTTTTCACTTCACAAGACATTAACTGATGGACTGGAGTGGTGTGGATTACTTGTGGATTATTGTGATGTTTTTATCAGCTGTTTGGACTCTCATTCTGACGGCACCCATTCACTGCTGAGGATCCTTTGGTGAGCAAGTGATGGAATGCTACATTTCTCCAAATCTGATGAAGAAACAAACTCATCTACATCTTGGATCGCCTGAGGGTGAGTAAATATTCAGCAAATTTTCATTTTTGGGTGAACTTATTCTTTTAACTAATTACATTTTTATTTGAATATGATGCAATGACAATTTTGCCAGTGGGATACTTGCTGTCTAGCTCCACACATTTTCTGTTCTTTTCCAAGCACAATTTGTATGCCGCTATCTTAATGATTTAAGAGAGACTAAAAGTTTGAGGGGAAACAATACATGACAAAGAGTGAAACAAAAGGGGAGTATTAAACAGGATTTGATCTACGTGAACAGAGTAAAAATAACATTTCACAGAAAGTAAACAAGCACTGCGAGCACGTCTACAGCAAAGAAGATGGAAATTATGGCCTATTATGAGCTATAAACTCATAACAAATAAACATCATTAACATGAAATGATTCGATTATGAGCTCTTCTGTGAATGCAGCGATTCATCATTTCAGTGTGAGGGAAGCTGCAGACGCTTTCATTTGCTGTAAGTTAGAATAATAAAAGCAGAACAACTAAATAAAGAGCCATTTAAGTTCATAACTGTTTAACTACTATAACTTTACTAAGAGAAAGTGTAAATGAAGAGTCTATTCACATTATATGGAATGTTCAAAATTCAAACTTGTTTAAAAATGTTCAAAACAAGATTTCCAGAAGTGATTTGAAAGAGGAACAACAACTATTCAAGGTGAAATAATTCATGAAGATTCGAAGGGTGACAGGCACATCCTGTTACTAGTTTGTAAGGAGGAAGACTTCTAAAAATGACGAAGTAACTCCCTCAGAGTTTGCTATTTCCATTCTTATCTCTTCACTCCCCCCACACTGGAATTCTTCACACTGTCAGCATACTTCCTTTAAATTGAAATGTTACGGTTGTCTTCCAATAATTCCACATCAATTATGTGTTTTGCAGGAGGATGTAATCAACACACAATGTGGATATGATGTTCGGGCAAAACCGGTGAGTCTTGCTCTCTTGTGACTTTACACTCCCTCCATCAGTGTTTCCTCTGCCTTCTGCACTTCACCTCTGCGTGCTTCTGAGAGCCAATATATCACCCGCACAACTCTCAAAGTTAAGGCCGTTTGGCTGACCTATAAAAAAAGGAAGCGGTTATTCATTTCATACACAATGGTAAAGTAATTCAAAATACTCTACATAGGCGTAGTGTAAATATGCATGCATATGAAAGTTATTTTCACAATTTCTTAATAATTCCTAATAATATGATTTATGAACTTTAATAAATTAATAAGTTATAATTTAAGAAGTTAATAAAAAAATAGACTAAAAAGAATGAATGGAAAATTAATAAAGCATTAGTAAAGGTCATGCTAGATATTTGTATGAAATAAATGATGCTACAAAGTATGCAAAATGAAAAGTAAAAATGTTAAGTTTGAATTGAAATTGATGTGATCTCACACAACAAATATACTGAGGGCATAAACTTTGCAGAAGACAAAGTATGACATGCTATACATCAGACGTTATTTCAACTTGCAACAACAAAATTAACATCCGAAAATGTATTTGTCCTATTTATTCATAAGTGCAAGTTCAGCCTCAGTGAGCATCTTTATCATTTAACATTAACCCTGAGATATTTGTACATGTATCATGTACAGTACCAGTCAAAGGTTTGGACACACATACAGTACTCCTTATTATTACTATTTTCATAACTGTAATGAAATAACATAAATTGTGTTATTAACACAATTTTACTCTTGCATAGAGACCAAAAAAAAAAAAGTTATTGTATTGAAGCTTCTTCATACTTGGATGATTATATATATATATATATATATATATTAAATTGTTTTCATTCAGAAATTGTTAGTAGTATTTAACAATTAGTTACAAAGAAATGGCTAACACATTGTGTGATTAATAGTGAAATTCTGAAGTTAAAATAAACACTGAAAAAGTACATTCTTCTAAAATGTACTCCAATAATTTTTATTTAGAATTTCAAAAAAAAATTTTTTTACACTGATATAGATATAAAAAATTTAAACAAAACAAATATATAATCCTTTAGATTAAGGATCTGTAAAATGACATGGGAAATAAGTATGTGTGTTTAAATTGTAGACTAATCTGTGCATGTGTAGAAAGAGGACAAAGCATTGATCCTGATCTCATGTGTTCATCATTAGGACGCAGAGCAGAAGACATACATTAATGTTAAAGGCTGTGTGCCGCAGTTTGAGAAATGGCTACAGGACAACCTGACGGTAGTGGCTGGGATCTTCATCGGCGTCGCTCTGCTGCAGGTGAGAACGCCTTCATCTGCATTCGCTGATTGCATCTTCTGTTTCTACTTCATGTTTCTCTCTCTTTTTCCACAGATATTTGGAATATGCCTTGCACAAAATTTAATCAGTGATATTGAAGCTGTGAGAGCCAGCTGGTAAGAACACACACATGCAAACTCACGACTCTGTTCCTGCTCTACTTTTGCAAACTGCCACGGCAAGCAGCTTTTCTCTTTCACCCCAGTGCTTTGATGCCTGTACATCTTCTACTTTTATTCATAATGCACATTAATGGCTCACTTCTTTAAAACTGTTAATGACTCGGCGTGTTTCCGGAGTCTTAAAAAACCTCAAAACAACCTTTCCTAGTTTGCCGTGTTTGCTTTGAGAAGTGCCACCATGTGGACAAAATAGGAAATAGATGAAGATGATGTTTGATCGAAACTCTCTCAACTGTCAGTGTCAGATCACTTAAACAGAAAATTACTGTTAAAATACATCAAATTAAGATTCATTATAATACCGGCCTGCATCATATTTGCTGAATTAAATCCAATACTTGTTTCTTACTAATTTGGGGTGCTGATTTATAAAAAATAACATGTTATTTTAAAACTGACATTTTTGACATTTGACTTTTGTTATCTTGATAAGTGCATTAAAGCAATAGTTCACCCAAAAATGAAAATTTGCTTAATATTTACTCACCATCAGGCCATCTGAGATTAGGATGAGTGTGTTTCTTCATCAGAACAGATTTAGAAATGCAGCACTGCATCTCTTGCTTACCAATGGATGCTCTGCAGTGAATGGGTGCCGTCAGAATGAGAGTCCAAACAGCTGATAAAAACATCACAATAAGCCACAAGCAATCCAGTCCATCAGTTAATGTCATGTGATGCAAAAAGTTGCATGTTTGTAAGAAACAAATCCATCATTAAGACATTTTAAGCTTCTATCCATAATATGGCTTTCTTCAGTGAAAAAGTCATCTTGTCTGAATCAGGAGAGAAATCTGCACAGATCAAGCACCGTTTAAGTCAAAACCGTTTCTAAACGAATATGTGGGTGGATTTTGATGTGAGAGGACAACAGCAGATGGATGAAGTGTTATTATGGACTATAGACTCGTATTTTGGCCAGAAGCGATGGTTTAAAGTTAAAATGCCTGGATGGATTTGTTTCTTACAAACACACAGCTTTTCGTTTTACAAGATGTTAATTGATGGCCTGGAGTGGTGTGGATTACTTGTGTTTTCATCAGCTGTTTGGTCTCTCATTCTGACGGCACCCATTCACTTTTCCTTTAGGTGATGCACAAATAATTTTTGAGAGAAAACAAAAACATTAGATTTTTTTTTTTCAACTCGGCATCATCAAATTAGGTAATATTAGCCCTTTTTTATATTAATATTAGAATAATATTAGAGAATTTATTTAAGATGCATGGCTGTGTAACCATTTAGCGTTCACTTTAGGCTAATGTGAATGTGATTTTACTCCTCTATTTTATCTCCTCACGATACACACACACACACACACACTCCACTCGCTTTCCTCCGTCCTCTCTGTCACATCCACACCGACTCACCTCACACCTTCACTTCTCCTCCCCCATGCCTTCATCAGGGTGCCGCCCCCCTCTTACGTCGCCCGCCGCCCCCCGTCCCACTACAGCAAGAAAGCCTCGGCGTACTCCTGAGGGAGATTGTCCTGGTGGGTGTGAAACGTGCCTGCTTGTGTAGTGTGTGCTCTCTGTGTTCTCCTAGAATCTAGATCATCAGCGCTCTGCTCTTCCTCCACCGAGGGCTAGTCAGTGTTCTCGCAGTGTTCGTCCTCCTCCATGACATGAGTAATCATTCATCAGAGGTGCAGGCATTCACTAACATCAAACCAGTTACACTTTCACATGTTTAACCATCTTCACATCACACCTGGAGGAGATTCTCTGATTGATTGATTTATTTCGAAGGCTCCAGTGCAGTTCACCTTAAGAAAGTTTTTAATACCCTTGAAAAAAAAAAAGAGTAGTTATTAGAAAAACATGCTTTAAAATAATATGCATATAAGTGCAATCTGAATGTGATGTTTTCAGACATTTCACTGCATTTTAATTGAAATTAAATGAAAATTAATTATAGTTTAATTTTATATTAAATGCGATAAGTTGACCGTTGCTGACCATCTTTATATGATGTAAATTAATAACTACTTCCATTTTCTTGGAAATATGGTTGTGTAAAAAAAAAGAAAAAAAAGAAAGAAAGATGCATTAGTAAGTACATAAATTAGATTGTATTTTACATTATTTATAAAATTGTACATTATTTTTAGTGTACTTATCATATATATGACATCAAATAATGTTTTTTTTTACTTTTTAAATTCAGCTTTTCACATAAATTGTTTTACTGATAATATAATATTTGTAATGAAATATTTTCTATCAAATTATGTGCAAATTCAATAACTACTTTCCAAAAAAAAAAAAATTGTTATGGTTTTAATTTGGTTATGTGTTATAACCCTTTTGGGAGCCCACTGTATATTACAAACAAACAAACTAAAAATTAATTAAAAACAAAATAAAAAATAAAAATTTTATAGTTAAAATTAAAATAATATTTCATTCATAAGATATACTTTTCTTCAATTCTGTTCTCTCCAAAAAATATGTTCTGAGGAATGTGAAACATACTACATATATTCTACAAGGTATATTCTAATATGTTTTTAAAGTGAGCAATTTAAGAAGTATTGCATGTTCTTATTGTAAGACCCATTCATACAGTCTCATTATAACACACATCCTCACGGTTCCAGTCCCACAGAGATCTACTGCAGGAAGAGTGCAGTAAATGGGAATGTGTCACACTCCATGATCCTCGTCATCTTAACCCCGTCCGTTTGCTCCTCAGATTCTCTCGCCCACTTCTAGTCCCGTTTAGCTCCTCGGACTGTTATAGCTCATTATAACCCTGATCTGCCAGCTGGCCTTGCTGCAACCCTTCCATGCATCCCACATCAGTCATGTTCTCTCTAGCTGAAAATCAGTCAGATTTCTCCAATGCAAGGCCCCATTTGTCAAGTTGGCGCAAAAAATAAAAGCTCTACTTTGGTTTTATTGGAAAAGTCAGTGGAGTAATGCCAACTCTTAATGAGGCCTTACACAATTGGCTTTAGACGTCTGTTTATGACCCATGTCTTCTTTTTATTTCTTTGTCTTATGCAGTTTGTTCACATGAAGTGGCAGCTAGTCTTGCAGACACTCACAGGTAAATCATACACGCATACACTTCCATAACACACAATCCTTTAAGTCAGCATGAAACAAACGTGAATATGATGGAAGTAAATATTCTGATATAATATTGATTTCATGCTAACTTTAATCCTCTTAAAGGAACAGTTCCCCCAAAAATGCGAACTTGCTAAAGAAATGTACTCACCCTCAGACCATCCAAGATGTAGATGAGTTTCTTCATTTGAACAGATTTGGAGAAATGTAGCATTCCTCACTTGCTCACCAATGGATGTGAATGGGTGCCGTCAGAATGAGAGTCCAAACAGCTGATAAAAACATCACAATAATCCACAAGTAATCCACACCACTCCAGTCCATCAATTAACATCTTGTGAAGTGAAAAGCTGCGTGTTTGTAAGAAACAAATCTTTCTACAGTGAAAAGGTCTGAATCAGTAGAGCAGTATGCACAGATCAAGCACTGTTTACAAGCGAAAACAGTTTAAAACAAATATGTGGATGGATTTTGATGTGAGAGGACAACAGGAGATGGACTTTTTCACTGCAGGAACTGTTATTATGGATTATTAACTCTTATTTTGGCCGCAACAGTTTAAAGTTAAAATGTCTTGATGGATTTGTTTCTCACAAACATGCAACTTTTTGCATCACATGACATTAACTGATGGACTGGAGTGGTGTGCATTACTTGTGGTGTTTTTATCAGCTGTTTGGACTCTCGTTCTGACGGCACCCATTCACTTCAGAGCATCCATTGGTGAGCAAGTGATGCAATGCTACATTTCTCCAAATCTGATCAAATCTAAATCTTTGATGGTCTGAGAGAGATTACGTTTTCACTTTTTGGTTGAACTATTCCTTTAACACCAACCTAAATAGAAAGATCTGATTGTTGTGAAATAGCCGTGTTGTCCAAACTGTGTTTCTTTCTCTTTGTTAACAGGCCTACGCCAGCACGATTAAGGTAGCGAATGATGAACACAAGATGCACTGGGTTGTGTGTGTGTGTGTGTGTGTG